TAAAAATTTACAAAAATAGGAATCGTGTAAACCTTAATGTGTCGTGGAAAATAGAATTTGATTACAAAATGTGGAAACTCTCTACAATTACCTTAAATCTAAATGACTATTGCAACTTTATAAAGTGTTTAAATGAAATATAAAGAAAAGAAAACTGAACACTTTATGCCGCTGACTTATAACTAGCATTAAAATATAATCAAAATTTCAAATGATCCCAAAATTATTATCCAAACTCACTTTCAAACAGTTCTGATTTTTTTTTTTTTTAAAGAAAACTAACTACTCGCAAAATAATCGGTGATACTGGAATATCTATCCTCTCTTCGGAAGTTAAAGGTACGTACTATTATATTTTTATTTTAATGATCATTAATATTTCAATTTTTAAGGCCTATCGCAATTAGTTAATTCATGAATTTTTACTTTTTCAATCTAAATGACATTTCTGCACTCCAATTATAATTTATAAGTCAAAATTTCTCTTACTCTCTGGAACAAATTCTGGATATCTCTATTTGAAAATGTGGAAAAACTAAATTATAATTAAACGATTTTAAAGCACTCCCGGACTATTCCACCTTTTTAGGGCTCTTCCTCCAAAATTTTCGTCGCCTCCAACAACCTATTCTTCCTTGTTAACCGCCATAGCTAGCACCAACCACCAAAATTATTCGTTGCTAACAGCAACCCCCTTTCTTTTTTCATTCCGTCTTCTATTTTATTCAACCATAAAACTGTCCTGTTTTGACATATTTGTCAAACCACATTAATTTCTCATAAGCACTTTAATCACATCTAATTTGGGAATTTATAAAAAAAAAAATTCAGATATAAAACTTAACAATACTAATATAATTTATTCTTTTCATCTCCACATCATTGTAATTTATTTAACAAAACCCCTATTAATTTAGTTCCCACAGACTTTTGACAGTTTATTTTTCTGACGTTTATTTTTAAAATTTCTATGTTTAAATAATTTTTTAAGAATTCTTCTTTTTTATTCCTTTTAAGGTTTAGACGATTCACCTATACACTAGGCAACTATACTATTCAGAAATTATTAACACTATACCAGGTAAGTCAAAATTAATTTATTTAGCAATTTACTAATCTTTTCTCCCTTTTATTTCAGAGTCGACCCCACATTGTGATGGCTTCATGAAATTCATGAACAACAAACTCATATAAAAATCCCTTTAAGTTATATCCTCTTTGACATATTGAAATCATTTCAATATATACAATACATAAAAATACGAGTTCTTTCTCAGAAAATGTTGTAATGGCATACTTCCTAGACCTTTGTTTAAAGATGAAATCTTCAACATTATGGGCCAATTATTCAATGCTGAAGTCAACCCTTGCACTTAAACACAATGTAGATATATCTACATACTCAAAACTTCGTTCTTTATTGAAACGGCAAGCTCAAGGTTATAGGGCAAAGAAATCTAAGATTTTAACGAAGGAAGAAATTGAAAAATTTATCCAGGAAGCTCCAGATAAAGAAAATTTAATGATTAAGGTAATTTACAAGGTTTTAATTTCTATTTAGATTATAGCTTTATTTATTTTTTAGGTGGCTGTAATATTTGGTATTTCTGGGGCCTGTAGAATGGATGAGTTAGTCCGAATGACTGTACACGATATAGAAGACTTAGAATCTAAGCTTTTAATCAGCATACCTGATTCAAAAACCAACAAACCAAGATCATTTGTAATTAATCAGATCTACTTGAATGTTTATCGAAAGTATGTTTCGTTAAGACCAGAAAATATGAACAGTGACCGATTTTTCTTTAAATATCAAAGCGGAAAGGGTTGTAGACAGGTGGTAGGAATTCATCAATTTAGAAAAATGCCCAAAATAATTGCTACTTATTTGAACTTGGTAAATCCGACAGAATATACTGGTCACTGCTTTCGTCGGTCTTCTGCAACAATATTGGTTGACTCTGGTGTCGACATAACTAGTTTAAAGAGGCATGGCGGATGGAAGTCATCAAACGTTGCTGAAGGATATATCGAAGAATCGCTTAACAATAAGGTTAAGGTGGCAAATAAAATTTTCACAGTACAAAATATTCAACAAAATGACACTTCCACCCTGCATGTTGTCCAAAATGTTTCTCATAGTTCTAAGAGTGTTCCTCCAATGTTTAATAATTGTACTAACTGTCAAATTACTGTAAATATAACAAATTGATCTTAAAAATGTATTCAGCAATGACTTGATGTTTTCAAAATATAAATTAATTCCTTATAAGCAATTTTCTATCATTTATGTAGAACACTAACAACTGTACGGAAATATCATTTCCTTACAGTAAGGAAGTCCTGACTTTTTCTTCAAGAAATTTTGACAGGAATGTCAAAATTTCCTGGCGATTTGCGGAAAAATGAATTTATTTTCTATTTAAAATTTTGAAATTCTTTTGTATTTCATAATAACATTATTTCAATTTGCATATTTCTGGCATAGTAACCATTCTGTGGAATTTTATAATTCTATTGTATTTAGTAAAACTAAAAATTACTGGGGTTGCTATTTGTATTGATTGGATATTTTCATTTAACATTGATTTAACTCTCAGTTTCAGTTTTGCTTGTCACATCACAGTCTTCGATCAGTGGTCATTCTGAGTGTTGTTTACGTTTTTATTCTTTTTATCATGTTTCTAGTTAATAATTTCAAGTGTTATTTTCTATATAGATTTAGCGTTGTTTATATTTTACATTTATATCAGTATAGATAAGGAAAAAAGAAAAATTGAATCAGAAAAGAGGCAGTTTCAACCTGAATGGACAGATTTATATTGTTTCACTTTGCCAAACCGAGTTGGAGCAGTACCTGTTTGTTTGATTTGCCATCAAACTGGGGCAATAATTAAAAGTTCGCATGCTAAACGGCATTACAAACCAAAATATAAAGTGTTTGACAAAAACTACAGAACATGACCTCGAATTCGTAAAAATAAACCTAAGAGTTTACTTTCAAATTACGCTACATCTAGGGAAATTATTAAACGATCAATGATCAATCAAGAAAAATGTTCTGAGGCTTCTTTACGCATTTCCTAGACGCTTGCAAAACATATGAAGCCATTTAGTGACGCGGCTATCGTTAAAGAGTGTTTTCTGGAAGCAGGAAATTCATTATTTCAAAATAAGATGGATTTTGTCGATACTATTCAGCATCTTACAATATCTACTACGTCAAGCACAAGGAATACATAGGTATTGGCAGATGAAATATAAAAAATAATAATAAATAAAAAAATAATTTTCTAAGGTCATTGACTATTGATATTAGAATATATTTAAGCTTGTTAATACTATTTTAAGCTTCCATTAGTCCAAGTAGATCCAGTGGGAGTTTATCAGACTAATTTTTTCTATCAATATTTGCTTTAAAATATGAATTTGTAAGTTTCAAAATATCTATCTTACAGTTCTGAACTATCATCATGCGATTACCATATGTCTAGTATTGTAACGATAATATTTTGCCTACCTTAGGGTGAGATTATGGAGGTAGAAAATTGGGAACAGAAACTAAGGGGGTTGAGATAGGGCAAGCAAAATAATCGATATTTGTGCTTACGGCACTCAGGGGTTTATTGGAGAGCTGGGTCATGGATAAGTTAAATCAAAGGGTAGCTACAAAATGAAACAAAGGGATACTTACATAAATCTCTTGGAACAAAATGAAAAAAATATTGACAACAAGAAATACCTCTAGCTATTTCAAATGGGACGGCGCTTCGAGAAGACTTCCTGCTGGAGGAAAGAAAGGTTCTTCTTTCCTAAAAAAGCAAGCACACAAAAAAGGTTAGGAGATTTTTCTAAAATAAAGATAAAATGATTGAAAAAATAAATCAAACATTTATTTTTGTCTCAAACAGTTACAAAAAACAGATGGCATAAAAAATATACTCTATCAATAGTTGCAAAATATAAAATTACAAAGAAAAAACTTGCGTGTCTATCTGTTTACAAAGGAGATTGCTCCAAAATCTTTAAAATGGTTACTAGGTTATTTATCACTATGGCATTTTCTACAAGTAAATTAAAAATTTTACAACAAAAACAAAAATAAAGCTAGCTGTCATATGTCAGCATTTAATTTTGATGACAAAGAACAAATAGATTGACAGCATAACCATACATCGTATAACATTATTTAAATGGTTATGAAAGCAATTATTGTTATTTAAAAAAGGTCTATTTTACTATTAACACAAAATGTTACTTTTTATTCACATACAATTTTGCACAAACTTCTAAAGATTTAACGGAAACTTACTGGAACCTCTGCTATACAAAAGGACTGCTTCAAACTGGACTGGAAAAACGACCAGAAACAAATAAAATTGAGGTTGGAACTAAATCAATTGCACATAGTGGGCACACAGTACTGCACAAGTCCCTTAAATATTTAGTGGTTACTCTTTTCTAAGTCTGCCATATTACAGAGAGTAATTATTCCACTCTTCAACAAAATTTGTGGACTTTTGCAAACTACATCGCTAATACGTCTGTTCACTGTTTCCTCTTCAACATAAATTTCTTCTTTTTAATACAGGCCTCAACTATGTCACAAAGCGACCTTGTAACAAACTCCTTTTCAAATTTGTAGATAAAACACGTATTATATTGATTATTTTAACGTCCTCGTTTAACCGGAATTTGGAAATCTTCTACCTCACAATGTATACAGAGAATTGGGGGATTTGAATGTAAATAAAGACAAAAATATTTATACAAAGCTCAGGGGTGAATTACAAAATTTTAAACGTAAATATTACATGGTTAAAAAATTTTAAAACGCTACAGTATATTAGATCGCTTACTAAAAGGTCACCAAAGGAAATATAGCTTATAGCTTCTAAACATTTTCAACAACCACAGTGTGTTTTATTTTTAATTGTTGCTTGTCTTTATTAAATAGGAAATAATAATATGACTTGTCTTAAACAATTTTCTTTTCGTAGACTTACAATTGGGACGATAAAAGCTTAGTGATGGCCTCATTTTTATGGGGTTACTTCATTCCTCAAGTAGCAGCAGGATACTTATCTGATAAATATGGCGGTAAATGGTTCTTGGTTGTAAGTACCTCTATCACTGCAGTAGCCGGTCTCATGATACCTTCAGCAGCTCTATATTTTGGCTCAAAGGGGGTAATGGTTTGCCGATTTTTACAAGGTATATCTCAAGGATTTTTGTTTCCGTCAATGCATGGAATATTAGGCAAATGGATACCTGTTCCAGAGAGAAGTAGATTGGGCACATTTGTTTATTCAGGTAAGAACATCTTACCTTTTAAAAATGAAAGTAACTTCAATAAACAAGATAACGGTTCTAGAAGAAACATGGGAATCTAAAAAAAGTGGCGCAGTAGGCGGTACTGTAGATTAGCGCAAACTTTGGTATGTTTTCTGTATTTTTAAAATTTAAATAATATATTTAAAATTTAAAACACTGAAAACTTTGTTTTCAAACTTCCACAAAATTTATTTTAAATGTTATCACTACAGCTGTTTCGGCTGATTGCCTTTCTCAAGTGATCTATTTTGGCTTGGGTTTACAAATTTATAGTCTCTAATGAAATAGGTTGAGGAGGGGAGAACTGTTTGTCTCAAGTTGGTCATTCAGAATTATATCTGTGTTTTTTAATTTGTTGATTTCCATAGATTCTAACAAAGATAGCTTAACGCCTTTATTTTGAATGTGAAGAATTTTAAATTTGTCATTAAAAGAATGATTATGATCTAGAAGGTGAAGTGCGTATGTCGAATCTGTTTTTCTATTCTTGAAAGCCCTTTTATGTTCTGCTATTCGTTTATCAAAGTTTCTACCAGTTTGACCGATGTAAGTTTTTGGCAGTCGCCACATTGAAGTTTGTACAAACCACTATTTAAGTGTTTTTTATTTTGGCTCTTGTTATTTTTAATATATTTGCCTAGAATAAATAAAAATAACAAGAGCCAAAATAAAAAACACTTAAATAGTGGTGTGTACAAACTTCAATGTGGCGACTGCCCAAAAACTTACATCGGTCAAACTGGTAGAAACTTTGATAAACGAATAGCAGAACATAAAAGGGCTTTCAAGAATAGAAAAATAGATTCGACATACGCACTTCACCTTCTAGATCATAATCATTCTTTTAATAACAAATTCAAAATTCTTCACATTCAAAATAAAGGCCTTAAGCTATCTTTGTTAGAATCTATGGAAATCAACAAATTAAAAAACGCAGATATAATTCTGAATGACCAACTTGAGACAAACAGTTCTCCCCTCCTCAACCTATTTCATTAGAGACTATAAATTTGTAAACCCAAGCCAAAATAGATCACTTGAGAAAGGCATTCAGCCGAAACAGCTGTAGTGATAACATTTAAAATAAATTTTGTGGAAGTTTGAAAACATAGTTTTCAGTGTTTTATTGTTACATAAAATGAATTTCCATCAAGTAACGGTCGAATCCATCAATTATTATTTAAAATTTAATAAAGTAATTTAATTATTTATTTATTATATTTAAAAAAAATTAATAAATTATTATGTCTGTTACTAACGCCATCTGTTAACTTATTAACAAAGCTTACTTTGTTTACTTCTGACATACCTGTCAAATTCAGACCAAATATTAAATTAATTATAATATATAAATAAATATCATTTGACGACAGTGAATTATATAAACTAATTAATATGTTTAAATAAGTAAAACGGTGTTACTTTGCACCATTTTTGTTAGTTTTATTTTCTTGAATGGAAATAACGTCACTTGAAAGAAGATCTGAACTTTGTATTATAAATATCTATCGAACAGGTTGTAATATAGGTCGTATTATTAATATGTTTAGGCATATTGTATAATTAAAAAAAAAACAAGTTTTATTAGTGGTTTAAAGTATACCCTAGAAAAGTGATACTTTTCACTACTCAATATTTTAATATTTGGTTAGGAAATGCTTGCTCGTGGATAGTAATCCTATGGGTTTTTAAACTTTACACCAACTAAATGAAAAAAAGGTGCGTTGGCCCAGTTTTTTTACCTTAGCTCCTTAGCTTCCTTTATTTTTTGCTTTGCCCTTGCTTGTCTGTAGCTAATCTTCTCCATACACGGACTCCTAAAAAGGCTTGTGCGTCTCTGTTTACTGTGTCTTCCCATCGCTTTCTTGGCTTTCCAACCGGTTTCTTTCCCTGTATTCTAGCATTCAGTGTTTTTTTTGGTAGCCTATCCTCTCCCATTCTGCGAAATTCATCCTCCTCTCTCCATTTCTGCGAAATTTTGAAAAAGTCTGTCCGGTGTTTTTGTATTCGTACACATACCTGAGTATCATTCATGGTGGTTTTAATGAGTCTAGTTAGCTTGTGTGGTATTGGCAATTCAGCCAATATATTATAGAGTTTGCTCCTTTTGACTGAGTCCTATGCCTGTTTGAAGTCTACAAACACGTTGTGAAAATCAATGTCATGTTCCCCATGAATTACTTAAGATCTGTTTGATTGTAAATATTTGATCCAGTGTCAATCTTCCCCGTTGAAAGTCCATATGATCTATCTATCTATAGCCCAAAATCTATTCATGTGTTGAATATAGGCCTCTTGCATTTGCCTCCATTTGTCTCTGTTTGTCTTTTCCACATTGGACCTGCGCTTTGCTCAATGTCATCTTTCCATCTCATTTGCGGTCGACCTCTTGACCTTTTTGCAGTATATGGTCTCCGGCGGCCAATTTCCTTATTCCATCTTCCATCCTGATATCTTTCGTTATGCCCCGCCCATTTCCATTTTAATTTCAATGCATGTTCGACAGCGTCTGGTGTTTCGGTTTTGCATCTTATCCACTCGTTCCTCTTTTTATCTCTTAGCGATATTCCCAACATTAGACTTTCCATAGCTCTTTGAGTTTTCTTTATTCTATCTAAGTTGCTCTTGGTACACGTCCACGTCTGGGCACCATATGTCAGAACAGGTAGGACGCATGCATTAAATACCTTCGTATTTTAATAATTTTAAAGGTATTTTTTTTGGTTTTTGATATTAAATGAGAGTTTTCCGAAACCCCATTCTTATTCTTCTGGTTAATTCTTTAGTCTGGTTGCTTTTGTCTGCTCTGATAGCTTGGCCTAAGTAAATATATTCTTGGACGTGTTTGTTCCACCTATGGTAATTACTGATCTGTCTTCTGTATTAGTCATTATTTTAGTTTTCTTTAGATTCATTTTTAATCCTCTCTCAAGAGATGTTTTTTCAAGGTCTGAAATCATTATTCGTAGTTGTTCCATAGTTGTTGCTATCAGGAGTACATCATAGGCGAATCTTAGATGATTTAAATATTTTCCGTTTATACAAATCCCTTTATTATCCCAGTCTATAGATTTAAAAATGTTTTCCAACGCCAGAGTAAATAGTTTGGGTGAGATTGTATCCCTCTGTCTGATACCTCCACAAATTCTAATTAATGGAGCAAATCTCTGTCTAGCTGAATTCTCATAGTGGCGTTTTGATATATATTGTGGATTAACATTCTGTACCGTGAATCTATTCGGCAATTAACTAGCGCTTCTTCCACTGCCCATAGTTCTATGCTGTCAAACGCTTTTTCATAGTGAACAAACGTAGGTATACTGGAAGGTTGTATTCGTTGGTCTTTTCTATCAATATTATAAGAGTGTGAAGGTGGTCGGTTGTGCTGTACCCATTTCTAAATCCTGCCTGCTCAACTGGTTGGTATGCATCAAATTTGTTGTTTAGTCCAGTTGTGATCACCTTAGTAAAAGTTTTATAGATTTGTGACAAGAAAGATATTGGTCTATAGTTAGCTAATTTTGATCTATTTCCTTTCTTATATATCAGAATTGTATTTGCCTTGTTCCACTCTTGCAGTATTTGTCCTTCAAACAAAAATTTATTGAAATGCATCTTTAGGTATTCTTTTATCTTTTCCCCTCCTTCTTTTAACATTCCAATTAGAATTTCATCGTCTCCCGAAGCCTTATTTCTTTTCATATATCTAATTGCTTTTTCTATTTCTTCTTCAGTTATGGGGGGTAATATTTCAGAGTTTACATTCATTATTTTCTTTTTCAGGTTTTGTTGAGTTGTATCAGGTGTACTGTTTTTAGAGCTGTAGAGGTCACTATAATATTCACTTGTTATCTTAGATATTTGGGTTCTGCTTTTTTCTATTACAATTTGTTTATTTTCCATCTCTAGGATTTTATTTCTTCCTAGGTGGGACTTGATAGATCTTAAGTTTCTATTTTCTTCTATAATCTTCTCGATTCCTTGATGCCGTTTGAAATCTTGTTTTATATGTCTTCTTATTTCTGCATTAAGAGTTTTGTATTCAGTTGTATTTTTTTTTATTTTCTTGTAGTCCATATGATACTCTCCAATAATATTTTCTGCTAGTCAGGACTTTATATGCTATACATAGTAGAGAGAGAAATTTCACGGTAGTATTTGCACTAGAGTTTGTCTGCTTTTTTATAGATCGGTCATACTATACTTTTCTTCCAGTCGTCGGATATTTTCCCTTCTTGCCATATGTCTTTGAAGAGCGTGCCGATGTGACTGGTTAGCTGGTCGCCACCTAGCTTATACAACTCTGCTTAATAGCTTCGAGAACTTTCTCTATGGTTGAAGCTTCTACTACATTCTCTACTTTATTTTCTTCTACGTAGTTCATACCCATTTCATCATCCATGTCTACTTGTGTACAAGTAGGGTGTGAAACTTTTCACAATTTCTTCACTTTCATCTTTACATGGACTGGAATTTATATTCACTTTTTATCTTTTTTTAGGTATTTGTTAGCCACTCTAATTTCGTTGTTTTTGAAATTTTCTTTCATTTTTTTTATCTGTCCATTTTCATAGGCTCTTTTTTTATTTCTACATATCTTGTCTGCTTTCCGTCTTGCGGCTTCAAATGATGTTCGTTTTTACCGTGTTCTTCCTGTTACATACATTCTGTGTGCTTCATTTATTTCCTCTATTGCTTGCCTGCACTCGTCACCATGCTCCTCTTTAAATTATTTGCGACTTCTTCTTTGAACTTCTCTTAACATTCCTAAATCTTCAATTTTTTCAGGTCCAGTTTGTTTGTTCTTTGTTGTCTTTCGTTTCCTTCTCTGTTAAATCTGAATCTAAGATACTACTGGCTGCCCTTTTATCTATCAGCACATAGTCGATTTGGTTGGTTGTAGTTCCATCTAGTGAAATTCATGTCATTTTGTATATGTCTTTATGTGGGGAGCATGTGGAACCTTATGTGAATCTCCAGCTGTTGGTAGAAGCTTTCCTTTGTTTGTTGTTCTTGTTCACCTGTTGGGCAGTAAATGTTAATCATTGTTAGGTTGAAGAAGTGGGTGCAAATTCTTAACTTACATATCGTTTCACTGACTGCCAGGAATTCTATAATTTTTGACTTAAAATCATTATCCACGACAAATGCAACTTCACATTCTTGGCTTCCCTGTTCCTTCTCACTATATAGAATTGTTGTGTTTTAGTGTCCCTGATACCTTTCCCCAGCTATCTTGTCTCCCGAAGAGCAGTAATCATGAGCTTATATCATTTTAATTCTTGCAGAAGTGCGGTTTGAGCTCCTGGTTTATTTAGTGTCCTCACATTCCAGTTTCCAAATATATCGTCCATGTTTCGTAGCTTGACTCTTTTCAGAAAGTTCCGTCATATATTCCGAGGCAAATGTTCAGTTTTCGTAATATTGTGTTTTTTCTGGGAGTGGGTTGTCAGCCCACTGCCCTACTTTCCTCCTCTCCTTTACGCGGGTTTAAGACTAGCAGTGGTGACTTCTGAGCTACTCGATCCACCCATTTGTCACCACACGCAGAGTTATAGAATGATCATAGATAATTTGATAAAACAGTGTGAGCAAGAGATGAGATATAGAGACTCACCTTAAAAAAAAGAAAACGATAATTTGTTGTAGTATTCTGAGTTTATATTTTTAGCACAATCGATGATCTTTATATTCACTCAAATAATATTTAAACTTCTGACAAAATACATTGTTTCAGGTGCAACACTAGGTATATGTGCTTCCTTGATATTGACTGGATACATATCTTCGACACGTTATGGATGGCCCATGGTCTTTTATCTCTTTAACACTGTCATGTTGATAGTAGTGGGTATTTATGCATACATTGGCAGCAACGACCCAAGTAGTCATACGACAATTAGCGAAGAGGAGAAGAATTACATTATAAATAGTTTAAACAGTGCGACTAATCGGGTAAGTAATGCATTAAAGATGGATTAAGCGACAATTTTCATCGCGACACTTTTGCATAATATTTATTTATTTATTACATATTCATTCCATAAAATCTAAAATTTAGGATTTCTTTACTCCACAAGGAAACTAAATTTCTGTTGCTGGCTGTATATCATGTATCACAAAAAATGTATTTAAAAATTTCTTTATAAAAGGTAACACCATTGGGTTCAACCAATAATAATGTCTATTATATTATTATGAATGTTAAAGTCAACTATATTTTTATCTTGGATATATTAATTTCAAGAGTATAAAGCACACATATTTTCCAAATTTTTGTTTCACTGTTACATTGGTTTAGTGTCGCTTTCCACATATTTATAAGAGCACTTCCAGAATGCTACCAATTCGTTCCTGGTTATCAAAGGAAATGCAACCTTTTGTAGTTATTCACTTTAAGTGGAAAATAAGCAGAGGTCAAACACAGTGGCCGTCCTGTGTTTGGATTTGTATCAACTTCTCTAACAAAGCAAGGTTATATAGAAATATCGCAGTATAAGACTCTAATGACACCTATTCATATATAGCACGAGTAGAAGGTAAGCCACTTTACTCCACTTTGACCTTTGACCTCTGACGTCACGAGCCCTTCTACATTCATCTCCACTTCACGATCAAGCCTCTTCGGTATTACCAACTGCTTAAAATTGTTCTTATTTGAATTGTCTCGATTTGTATGTTTCTCCGTTTCGTTATAAGTTGTCTTTTTAACTCTTTATTCTTCGTAAAATGTAGGTATACGATCCTTAAACAGCTTTACATCAGATCTCCAACAGGTCTTGATCAGGTCTTGAACAGGGCTAGAACAGGTATTGATCAGGTATCTAACAGGTCTTGAACAGCTTTAACAAATTTAAAGCAGTTGACATGACCGAAACGTGGAGTGGGGACCAATATAGACGGGGCTTGTGACGTAGAGGTCAAAGGTCAAAGTAGTGTGAAGTGGCTTACCTTCTACTGGCACGTTTGACGAATTATGCTTTTACGCCAGGTGACTAAAGGTAATAATTTCTGTGAGAAGCAAAGAAACCTAATATAAGCAATAATTCATGAACAATGTCATACTTGTGCAAACATTTAGCTGCAACGGTTCCCAACCTTTTTTAGCTTAATGCACACTAACTTAAAATCTCGTTAGCCACAGCACACTTGGGTAAATAATCTCTATAATGAGTATAATCATATTGTATTGATATGTGATTTTTGTACTATGTTACTTTCTTTAAAAATATAATTTAAAACATAATTCATTGTGTTAATGCTGTGCTCATTATGGAAACTAAAATAATACAAAATCTACATTATCTTTGATTTTCTTCAGTTTTGACTGAACTTCTGCTTCTTCAACTAGTTTACTGTACCTAAGTCTAAGTCCAAAGTCATTTTTTATATCTAACAGTTCACCCTCTTCATCAAAAATGAACAAGACCGTGTCGTAAGATGACTTAATGTATAGATTTCGCATCCAGTAGCATTTTGATATTGTCATTCAACTTACTGAGAGATTTTTCAAAAAAAACAGATTTGGTTCTACATTGCAATTGTTTGTTAACTGAAATATGTCCCAGATGGCTTGATTTTCAACTTTTTTTCTCTACAAGTAAATACTAGTAAAAAAGAGGGTAAAGTTTTGCGGCACACCTATAGGAACGGCACACTGGTTCTAAACTGGTTTGCTTAAATTGTAACGAATATTTTGCCTGCCACATAAGGTATTATTATAGGGGGTTGAAAATTAGGGACAAAAATTATAGGGACAGAGATAGAGTAAGCAAAATAAACGAAACTGCTGCGAACGGCGCTTACGGTTTATTTGGAGAACTAGGTCGTAAATAAAAGAATGAAACAATGGGATTGGATTGGGGCAACTACAAAATGAAACGAAGGGGTACTTACATGAATCTCATGGACAAATTGACAAACAAAACACAAGAAGGTTCTCTAGCTATTTGAAATAAGTACGCTGCTTCGAAGAAACTTCCTGCTAGACGAAAAAAAAGTTCTTCCTTCCCAAAAAAACACAAGAAAAAGTGTCAGAATCTTTTATAAAATATGTAAACAAATGGTTTAGGGAGAAACATTAAACATTCATTACTGTCTCACTACAAACAGTTACAAATATAGACAATACAAAAATATTAAAAACAGACTTACTATATTCTATTTCTAATATATTAATAGTTACAAAAAATAAATACAATAACAAAGAGAAACACTTACTATGTTCTATTCATTTACAACATCCGTTTACAAGTTGAAGATACTACAAAACTTACAATTGTTACTGGGCTATAATTTGTAGCAGAAATAATTTATTACAAACGAAAAAATATCCTTTTAAATGAAACTATGCATACTGGTTAACCCTTTTCTAAAATTAAAACAAAATCTCAAATATAATTAGGTATTTATCAGATGTCAAAAAAAAAATAAAGCTACCTGTCATATGTCAAAACTAAATCTTAAAACTGAGAACAAATCAATGACGTATAATATATAGACTACGCAGTCCCCTATTCTCGCTATAGAATCAAGTTTCCGAAAGATCTCGGCTCAAGGTTGATGGTATGTTTATCAGAACAGCGGCGTGCTAATTTATATGTTAAAGACAATAATTATTTTTTTAATTAAAATTAAATATTTGGGATATACAATATTCTTTTTGTTCCCAAAAGAGTATGGCATTTTACTAAAATAGTAAGTAAATAACTCTCAACAATTTAAAATAAAATTTGCTTGTCATACAAAATGGAGAAAATGTTTTCATACGTCCATGATGTTTTCAAACACAAGATCAACTTCGTGATGCTTCGTAAGAAATCATGAACTTCGTACATCTTCGAATCAAAACAATAAAACATAACAAAGGTATTCATGTTTTGGACACTTTTTAAAGCGTTCACCGAGTCTATATATTATACGTCGTTGGAACAAATATAATGACAGCTAAGTCACGGCCTACAATCTACAATTTTAATTATAACATTTTTTTTAATTGTTATGAAAGCAATTATTATTAAAAATGTTTATTTTTCCTTTAAAATTCAAACGCAGAAGTTACCTAGATTGCACTAAAACTTCTGGGGGTAAAAACTAGACTTACACTCTCTGCCACACGAACAAATTCATCTCCATACTACGAAAAGTATTTTAAAACGGCTTCTTAGGACAACAATTTGAGGTTGAAATTGGCATTAGACGCAAACCTTGGACCCAGCTTTTTAACAAACAGGAATACTGGAAACTGGACACAAATGGCAACATGTGGTTATCCATCAAAGTTGTTGTAGACGACACAAATCTCTTAGACACTTAGAAACAGAAACAGTGATTACTTTTTTAAAACTGGCACATTACATAGAGTATTATTCATTATTTTCAACAAATTTGCCGGTTTTTTTCAATTTAATTAAACACGTCTGTTTTCAATCTCCAACATTTCAAACCTAAAACTTAAATTCCCTCGACCTCGATCTGTGTTCCCGCATCTACCGTTTTTCCTTACCCCGCTCACCCGTACAGACAATGAGAAAACCCAAATTTCTTGTTAAAATGCTTCAAATTATATCTTTAAATGACCTTGAATAATTTTCAGCTAAAATCTCAAAAATAACGCATATAAATTATTTTAACCATATATAAAGTCGCAGTTACTACTGGAATTTGGGATTTTTTCCTTTACATCACAATGTAAACAGAGAATTGGGGAAATATTTAAACTTGGTCCAGGGGCGTACTAGATAAATTTTATACTTGAATATCCGATAGTTTTTAAAGAATTTTCTGCATGCTACAAATTAGTTAATAATAATTACATATTTCCATGTTTATTTCTATTCGTTCTTTGGTTGTCGTCAACTGAAATACTAAACCATTATCGATAAATATTTTATAGCGTTTGACATTCGTTATTATCAAACAGCGGCCAACTGATTGGGCTGGGATGAAATATACTATTTTTTATCATTTTAGGTAGTTTTCTTATTTAAGCAGTAAGATATTAAAAAATCAATTTTACATTAAATAAACTTTTTTACTAATAATAGATAAACTTTATTATTTTAGCACAACTTGTCGGTTCCTTGGAAGGAAATGCTCACATCTAATGCGTTGATTTCTGTGCTAGTTACCAATGTTTGTTGTAACTTTACTCACTGGCTGTTTATTTCGGAAACTTCTATTTATTTTGACAAGATTATGCACTTCGATCTTAAATCTGTAAGTATACTAATCAGAATATTTTATAAAAATCTAATTTATCATAACTTAATCCGTTCATAAGCCAAACAATGGCACGATTTTTTTATAGTTTATTAATTGCTGATCAATAATATAATAGAGTTGTGTATTCTACATCTATAATTACTGTGCTACTGTACTATACTCTACAATGACAGTCAGGCTAAAGAGAGTTTGCAAAAAACAGAAAACTTTTAAAATATCATTAGAAGCACTCCAAAAACCAAGCACTCTAAATATGGTTTCTCAAGAACTTACCAACAAGTTCCACGAAAATAAAATAAAAGATACCAACAACATAGATGATTGCAAATAAAAACAACAATAATAATTGCATCTCACAAAACAACAGAAAATTAAAAATGACTAGATAACACCAGACATCTTAGATGGAATGGACGTTCGGAGTCAATACAAATCCATAAATAGAGGAAAATATAACGAAAACATAAAGAAATCCGAAAACGAATTAAAGTAGCAAAATACCGATGGCTACAAGAATCCACACGATAGCTTCCATTTGCATAAAAAAATAAAAGAATCTATATATATATATATATATATATATATATATATATATATATATATATATATATATATATATATATATATATATATATATATATATATAAGCGAGGTTCCTACAGCCTCTGCCGTTTCTCTCATTTCGACCGCCATCGTTTTCTGTCCATCCATTCGTCTTCTCTGATGGCTCTATCTCTCATTATGTGCCGTACATTATCTTCCCAGGCAACTGAAGGCCTTCCCCTTCTTCTTCTTTGTTGTGGTATGTAATTTAAAGCTTTCTTTGGCCATCTATCTTCATTCATTCGTTTCACGTGACCATACCACACTAGTTGCCTCGTTTCAATTCTATCTACACTGGAATATACAGTATTTGTCCTCCTTCTAATATCTTCATTCCTGATGTGATCTTTTTTGAATATACCACACGCTCTCCTTAGAAAATCCATTTCTACTACTTCTATTCTTTTTCTATCCTTCTGCGTTATCTGCCAAACCTCTGCCCCATAAGTCATAATAGGCTCTACCAAGGTTCGATAGATTGTCAATTTCGTTTCTTGTCTAATATCTTTAGACCAAAGTAGAGAGTTTAGAATGTTTACCACTTTTTTTCCCTGCTGTGTTCTGTTTTCGATGTCTCTTTTGGTAGTGCCTTCTTTAGATATTATAGATCCGAGATATTTATATTCATTGCATGTTTTTGTGTTTCTAATTTCTAACTCTGGATCTTCTTCACCATCTTCTATTTTAAGATACTCTGTCTTTGCCATATTCATATTGAGGCCCCATTTTTCATATTCTTTCTTTAGTTTTCTAAACATGTAGTCCATGTCTTCCTCGTCATTCGCTACGACTACCTGATCATCTGCGAAAAATAAAGCTGTTAGACATTCACCACCGCCTATGTCTATTCCCATTCCGGATACTTGTTTTCTCCACTGCTCTAGCGATGATTGAATATATATTTTAAACAGGATCGGAGACAGACAACATCCTTGTTTAAGCCCCTTGGTTATTGAAAATGATTCAGATATAAAGTTTCCTTCTTTAACGACACTTCTTGCATTTTTGTATATATTTGCGATAGCATCCACATACTCTCTACTGAGACCTACTTTCGTCAATGTATAAAACAGCTTTTTCAAAGGTACCGTATCATATGCCTTCTCTAAATCTACAAACAATAGGTGGGTAGATAGATTCCTTGCCTTCCGTTTTTCGATTACCTGCTGCAGAACGAATATATTATCAATGCACGATCTTCCTGCCCGAAATCCATTTTGTTCCTCTATGTCTTCATATCCTGATTCAATTCGTTTTTTTATTATTCGACCGTACAACCTCCCAACTGAGCTAGTAACAGTTATTCCTCTATAATTAGAGCAATTGCGTTTATCCCCTTTTTTGTATATTGAGCTGATGTATCCAACATTCCAATCATCAGGGATATTTTGTCCTTTTAAGCATTTATTAAATAGTTTAACCATCATCTCGTGTAATATTTTTGGTCCATACTTTACCAACTCAATTGGGATGTCTCCAGGTCCTGCTGCTTTACCGTTTTTCGATCTTTTGAGGGCATCGGTTAACTCTCCGGATGTTATCTCAATTATTTGTGTATGTTCAGATATTTCTTCCATTTCGATATCTTGGAATTTACGTCTATCCTCTGTCAATAAGACCTCATAATGCTGTTTTCACTGTTTCAGATCTATTAATTTTAAGTTAGATTTTTCCTTTCCTTCCCTCCGGAGAGACTTTATCACCTTCCACGCTTGCCCAACTCTTGTTCCACCCATATACCTATCCACCTCTGCACATCTTCGATCCCACATCTCATTTTTACTTTTCACTACTTCTCTTTTTACATCTCGATTTAATTTCGTATATACCTTGTGATCTTCCTCCTTTCTCGTTGACATCCATTTCTGATAAGCAGTTTTCTTCTTGTTTACTAACGTTTGCATATTCTCCGACCACCATTCTTGATTTTTTGTTGCATATTTTTCTTTATACCCCAAAGCTTCACTTGCAGCCTCATGAATGTACTTTTTAAGTTGTTGGTATAATTCTTCCGCTGTTATATTTTCTCGATCCACATTTTGTAATTTTGTGGCCAGTCGTAATTTGTAAAGAAATTTTGTTGAATCTTCTTTTAAGCTTTCTAGGTTATATTTAGGAGATGTTACTTTTTGTCCCTTTTCTATATTCTGTACCTGAGTGTTATTGTTTTTGCGATAGTTAACTATCACATTGGCCATAAGTAAATGATGGTCGGATCCACATTCTGATCCACGGTATACCCTTACGTCAGTTGTTTTCAGCTGGGAAGTTTGACGTTGGATTACAAAGTCGATTATCGAGCGCAGATTCCTAGTAGGTTGTATCCATGTAAATTTGTGGATGTCTCTATGTTGAAAAAATCCATTCATAATTTTGAGAGACATTATTTCACAAAAATCTCTAAGACGCATTCCGTTGTCATTGGTTATTTGTTCTCCATATCTTCCTACGACTCTGCTATTTTCTTCTGTCCCTACTCTGCCGTTTAAATCTCCTAGTATAAAGATTTCACAGTTTTCTTTAACTTCAGAGAGTATTTCATTCATATTGTCGTAGAAATCGTCTTTACTTTCTGGATTTGCAGCTTCGTTTGGGGCATATACTCCGACAATTACGATATTGTGCCAAGATATAAAAGAATCTACCAAGTAATATCCAACCGAAATACTGGCCCACCGATTCTAATTTCAGAAGTTCAGAAGGCCATTTACCAAGCGAATCGAAGGATTGCTTCTAGACCTGACGAAATACCTGCAGAATTGTTACATTTATTAGATGAAAGCGTTGCGATTATCTGGTTAATGAGCTTCACGCTCAAAATTATGGAAGTATTGCATTGTGGCATATATAAACTTTGTGAAGAGTTAACAGGTGATGAGCAGTTTGGTTTCCAAAACGATATGGGTACTTGGGTGCCTCTATTTTGCATGCGAATACTCGAATTACAAAAGAATATTAAGCTTAGAAAAAAATTTACATATGTTTTATAGATTTCTTAGATAAAGGTCTATGTAAGAGTACAACATGATCCATTATTTTAATGCTTGGCCTCACCTGGACACCTATGATATTAGATTGCTCAAAAATCTTTACTACAATTAGACCGCTTATATTAAGGTGGATCAAGAGGTTTCATCTAAGGTTTCTATTAAACGTGGTGTCAGACAAGGATATGTTATGTCACCGATGTTGTTTAATGCCTACACTGAGCCAGTTTTTGAGATAGCTTAAATAATCGTCGTGAAGCTGTAAAAATTGGTGGCGAAATCATTATTAATGCGATGACTGCGAAGTTGTACCAGAACTGTAACTTTGTTATTATGAATAAAGTGAAAGATCTTACCAAGTAAAAAGTAAAAAACCGAAACGAAAACTTCATTATTAGACGCATATCACTGTAACAGAAATATAACATCCAGATTCAAGGGTCAATGTGAACCAAAAAAGAAAAAAAAACTTAAATGAAATAAAAAATTGGTTTTCTCAAAAATGTGGTCAAAAAAAATCACGAGACAAAAGAAAAATTCGTGATATTATTTAAGCAAACAAAAAATAACTTTGCAGGATTTTAACAAAAATGATGCAGAAGTCTGGCGCAGCATTTCACCAATGACGACAGATCGTAGAAGAATAAAGGATTTGAGATCTTTCACCTTCTATGAGAACGAAATGAATAACACATTAAAGATAAATATAAATATACCCAGGACATCAAAAAGGCTACAAATCTAAACAAAACTACAATCAGTCCCAGGCAGACCTAAAGTCGAAAGAGGGTACTAAGAATCCCCAGTCAGTCAATAAAATCCCAAAAATGAAAATAATCAGTACGTGGAACATTCGAAGTATGCAATAAGCACAAATGGCAGCAAATATTATATAATAAATGACACTTCTTCTTCTTCAGATGCAAATCCACTAATGGATGTTAGCGATCACATTTTCCATTAATTCTCTATTTCTTATGCAATACGCAATATGAATCAGAGAATGTATGTCGTTAAACCCTGTCCATTGCCTTATTTTTCGGAGCCAGGACATTTTCTTGCGTCCCATTCCTCTCTTGCCTTCAATTTTACCCTCGATTATAAGTTGGAGGAACTGGTATTTTTCATTTCGCATGATGTGACCTAGATACGCAGTTTTCCTTTTCTTGATGGTTTCGAAAAGTTGGCGTTCTTGGTTTATTCTTTTAAGGACATCTATATTTGTGATTTTCGCTGTCCATGGTATTTTTAGGATACGGCGATAAAGCCACATTTCGAAAGCTTCTAATCTATTTATATCCCTCGTTTTGAGTGTCCAGCCCTCTACGCCATATAGCAGCACTGACCATACGTAGCACTTAGTAAACCTTAGTCTCAGTTAAAGATCAAACTCTGAACAAGTCAGTACTTTCTGAAATTTTACGAAAGTTTGTCGAGGTTGCTCAATGCGACATTTTACTTCCCTGTCCTATGCCCAGTCTTCAAAAAGCTACGATCCCAGGTATTTAAATTTACTCACTCTTTCAATGGACTTAGTATTCAGTGTTATGGTGGAGTTTTCAAGTGCATCTAAGTTTCTGGAGATGATCATAAATTTGGTCTTTTTGGTATTAATCTCTAATCCCATTTGCTTACTGTATTCTCCGATTATAGTGACAAGTTGTTGAAGATCGACTATGTTCCACCAATTAAGACACCATCATCAGCATATCGTATGTTGTTGATCAATACTCCATTCACCTTGATTCCCATCTCTGCATCATCCAAAGACTCTTGAAATATGGTTTCCCAATAAATGTTAAATAAAAGAGGGGAAAGCACACATCCCTGTCGAACGCCTCTTCTTATATATATATATATATGGGTTTGGATATAAAATTGTCTATTTTTAACTGTGCCGTTTGATGTCAGTATACGTTTTCAATGCATCTTATGTCGTTTTGGTCTATATCAACTTTCTTGAGAATCTGCATTAACTTGTGGTGTTGGACACGATCAAACGCTTTTTGGTAACCTAAAAAGCATAAGAACACATCCTTCCTCTGATCGTAACAATTTTGGACCAGCACCTGTGTTGCTACTATTGCTTCTCGTGTTCCTTAACCTTGCTTAACCTTTGTATAATCTTTGATGTAGTATTTTTAAGAATATCTTTAAAGTGTGACTCATCAGGCTAATGAGTCTGTGATCCTTACATCTTTTTGCATTGACTTTCTTGGGCAGGGGAATAAAGGTAAAGCGTAACCACTGTTGAGGATAGCAGCCAGTTTCATAAATTAGAATAAATATTTTGTGTAGTGCTGAAATTCCCCTTTCATCTAGTAATTTGAGTATTTCTGACGGGATTTCATCTGGTCCAGGTGCCTTATTGTTTTTTGAATTTAATATTGCCTTTTTTATCTCCTCTTTGGTGAGTGAAGGGCCAGTCAGCTGGTCGTCTGTATAAACTTCACTCATGGGTCTTTCGTCATGGAAGAGCTCCTGGATATAATTTTCCCATATATCAATTTTCTCCTTTTCACCCAGCACTATCTGGTTATCCTGATTAACTATGGTAGTTGGTCTTCGTTTTCTGTATATTCCAGCAGTCTGCTTAAGCTTTTTATGTAAATTACACATAAATGACACACCAGAACATATATATTTAAGGATGAATTGAAGATTGATAGCTAAATCCCTAATAACAAATGACGGAGGTTGTGACAGATGAAACTGGTAACAATTTGGAAAAATTCTAGCATAAAAATACAAACAAAACTGAGGCTGGTAAGGACACTCATTTTTCTATAGCTACATATGCATCCGAAACGTGGACATTAAAGAAAGCGGATAAAAATAAACTGGACGCTTTTGAAATGTGGGTATACCGCCACATGTTGAGAATATCCTGGATTGACAATCGCACTAACGTATCGATACTAGAACAACTTAAAGTAAAGGATAGATTGCTTAAACAAATACAACAGAGATATTTGCAGCATTTTGGACACACTGCTAGAAGAACAGGTACGATGGAAAAACTGATAGTCGAGGGTAGAGTTGAAGGAAAGAGACCTAGGCGAAGATCTCAAAGCCGTTGAGTAGATCAAACAAAAATATTGATTAACCAAGGGTTACATAAAGCCGAACAACTAGCCCAGGAAAGAGAAGGATAGAGGGAAATCGTGAAAAAACTCCAAAGGCCTGATGGTGTGTGACTGAGGACTGAGGAGGAGGAGCCAAATTCTAGAGTAAAAATTATAAGTATTAAAAAAATAATAGCCATCAAAGGCCAGATTTTGACTGCAATTGAAAATAAATTAAGAAGATCTAAAGAATACATGCAAGTATTATTTGAAATACAGCAGGAAGATTAACTGAAATAGACACTAGAACCTGATAAAGTGCATAGCGCAATTTTAAAGCTATTATGAGCACACCAAATCACAGCTCTAACTAATCTATTTAACAATATATATGAGACTGGTCACTGCTAAAAAACTAGCTACTATCAATATTGATTAAACAATTAATTAATTAGTTTGCCTGATAATTTAATGAGACATGCACTACTATTCACTTGCATCTCGCACAAATTAGAAGAAGACCTAAGCGAAGTTCAATTTTAATTCAAAGAAAAACTCTCAACGAAGGAAGTACTTTTTAGTTTGCAAGGTCTAATACAGATAGCTAGGGATGTCAGCTGCGATGTCTTTGTTCGATTCATCGATTTGGAGAACCCGTTTTTTATATAATCTTATAACAGTATATACACAATATATAAAAGCACAATATATTGTTCTTCAGCTAATAGTAATATACATTAAACGTTTTTTACAATCTGATAAACATTTAATTTATCATTCACTAAGAACGTCTTTTTTAGAATAGCACTCTGATCGCTCTTCCTTATATAACGGAATTGTTTTTCGGATTTGGAATGTGTTTCATAGCAGATTATTTGCATTCAAAGAATATTATTTCTACAACTGTTATAAGGAAAATTATGAATAATATTGGTAAGTTTTTATATGTTATCACCATTTTAAAACTAACTTCGGTATGTGTCCTGCTCGAGTATCGTGCGTTGGCTATCAAATTGGTTTACTAATTTTCTTAACGGCAGTTCGGAAAATATGTGCAGAAGATCTGTTAAACCATTTTCTCAGGTTTCTAAGCCATGACATTTTTCTTCGATCTGCCTTCATGACTTTTATTATTTAATGAAGTATAATATATCTCTCTGCTTGACGCATACCATGACCAAAATATTCCAGTTTACGTTTTTTAACTGTTCTTATCCCATCCGCTACAAAGCAACATCGTTACGAAATCTATATACCCAGGTTTTTCGTAGAATTCTTTGATACACCAAAATTTCAAAGGCTTAAAGTGTTCTAAGAAGTGTATTCGTTGAAGTTTATTCCTCGACACATATAAAATAATAAAAAACACATATATAAGGTTCTTGAACTCCTATGACGAACTCCTATAACTTCATACTCCCTGAAGCATAGAGCTTCAGTGAAAACGCGCCATCGGGTTCTATTTTGCGCTAAGGTCTTCACCTCATTCCAAGACTTTTCTTGGCCTCTTATCTCGTCCATGATGGATCTTCTCCAAGTTTGTACTGGGCGATCTCTTTTTCTTTTCCTTTGGGGATTCCACTCTAGGGCAGTCTTTGCGATACTGGAACTATTTTTTCGGAATGAATGACCGATCCAATCCCACTCTCTGGACTTAATTTCATTTTGTAACCTCTTTTGTTTGGCCAGGTATAGCAGATCTTCGTTACTGATGGTGTTAGGCCAGAATATACGGACAATTCTTCGTAGACATTTGTTAACAAAAACCTGCAGTTTGTCTGTGAGGGTGTTTGTCACTTTCCATGTTTCACATCCGTAGAGTAGAACAGACATGACATTTGATCGGAATATTCGGATCTTTGTCCTTGTAGTATACTCGCCACATTAAACAGGGTTGAGCGTGCTGAACGCTTGTTGGGCTTTTCGTGTCCTTATACGAATAGCGCCTTCTGTACCTCCGTTTTCTGTTATGACACTTCCAAGATACGTAAAGTTTTCCACATTTTCAATCTGCATATTGTCGATAGTAAATAGCGTGTTGTTCCTTGCATTTATTCTCGTGGACTTGGTTTTACTAATATTGATTTTCAAACCAATTTTTTTGGCTTCAGTGAAAAGTGTTTCCAATTGGTAAGGCAGATCTTGGAACCTCTGACCTAATAGACAGATATTGGAGAGAACATAATCTATAGCTATGTTAAAAAGAAACGGAGAAAGCACGCATCCCTGTCTTATTCCAGTAACTACGTCGAATTCGTCATTGTTGATCCCAAAAAACACTAAGTAATCTAATTATTAGTCGTAAAGTAATACTGTTTTCACATAAGATTTTCTTTATCTTAAAAAATGCAGGTCTGGACTTCTCTATACGTATTCTTATTTCTTTACTCATGTCCTAGATCTCATTTAGATTACAATCAAGAGAAGATGAGTGATACTATTAGTTTTGTCTAGTTGTTATTGCTAAAATAATTTCTTCTGGAGTAAATGAGAGACCACTCTGTTGGGAGCTATTAGGACTCTCTAGTTGGCAGTTATATAAAAAAGTGAAAGAACTTGCAGGTACACAAAAACGTAAGCAGCCAAATACCCTGTATAATGTCAACGGAAATATAATAACAGAACTGAAAAAACAGTTGAAGACATGGAAAAAACTATATTAAAGAACTCTTTGCAGACAAAAATCTGATCTAAGTAACATACAAGGAGACGAAGGTCCAGAAATAACGGAAAAGGAAGTAATGTACGCACTAAAAAGAATGAAAAATGGTAAAGCCCCAGGTCCAGATAAAATACCAACGGAAATCCTTAAACTAATAGAAAAAGACTAGATTCACATTTTAGTTGAACTTTTCGATAGCATTTATACATCAGGAAAAATACTACAAGAATAGCTTTTATCCACCTTTGTTATTATACCAAAAAAGATAAATGTCAAACAATGTAGTGATTACCGTACAATCAGTATGATGAGCCATGCACTGAAAATATTCCTGAAAATTGTACACTCTAGACTCTAGAGTACACAGAAAACTGGAAATGGACATCAATAATACCCAGTTTGGATTCCGAAATTGACTCGGAACAAGATAGGCGTTGTTTGCACTGAACGTTATGTCTCAAAGATGTCTTGACATAAATCAAGATGTATTCACGTGTTTCATAGATTGCAACAAGGCCTTTGATAAAGTGCGGCATGATCACCTAATCAGACTCCTGACAGAAAAGAATTTAGATAAACGAGACATTTGACTAATAGCAAATATGTACTACAATCAGAAAGCAGTAGTGAGAGTAGAGAATAATACTACTGAAGAAATTGAAATAAAGCGAGGTGTGAGACAAGGGTGTATACTGTCACCAACCCTGTTTAATTTTTATTCCGAAGAGGTAATGAATAGAACACTCTCTGAGCAATCCATAGGTATTAAAATAAATGGTGTTGGATTAAACAATCTGAGATTTGCCGACAACACCGTTCTGATCGCAGAAACGCTTCAAGAGCTACAGACATTGGTGAACAAGATAGCAGACTGCAGCGAAGAATATCTATCTTTGAACATAAAGAAAACTAAATTTATGGTAATATCGAAATCAACACAAAATGTCCAAAATTTATATTTACACAATGAAATTATCGATCAAGTTAACAAATAAAAATATTTATTCACTTTTATAAATAAAGACAACTTCATGAACATGAGATAGCTCAGCAGAAATCAAAATAAGAATAGAAAAAGCCAGATCCATATTCTAAAGCTGCAGAAGAGATTTGAGCCTTGAAATGAAACTTCGCCTGATGAGATGTTACGTACTTTCTGTGCTATTCTACGGAATGGAGTCATGGACGTTGAAAAATATTGATACAAAAAAAATAGAGGCGTTTGAACTGTGGGTTTATCGCAGAATCCTGAGAATATCATGGACCGAGAGAGTCACAAATGTCGAGGTCTTGAGAAGAATGAATAAAGAAAAGGAAGTCATATTTACGATCAAAAAACGAAAACTGTAATACTTGGGACACATTACAAGAGGCGAAAGATATGAACTGCTTCGAATAATTATGCAAGGGAAAATAGCAGGAAAAAGGTCCATAGGAAGAAGACGAAACTCCTGGCTAAAGAATCTACGGGAATGGTATAGCTGTAGCAACAACGAATTGTTTCGGTCAGCAGTTTCGAAAAACCTTCGGAACGAAGATGGCACTTGAAGAAGAAGTGGTAGATATGCCGACAGCTTATATAGATGGGGAAAAGCCGTTACTGCTGAGTGTGACTGTGGTGCGCAACTACAGACCTTCTATCATATTGTTGAAAAATGTCCCAAAAGGTGATTCCCTTGAGTTTTTGATGAGTTTCTATGATTGAAAATATTTCACATTATATAAATAATATATTAGATGGTCGTTTGTAATACTCCATGTAACGTTTTATATTTATTTTTAAGTATGTGTTCTTATTGGCATACAATAAATATAAATTTCCATAAGCTTGATCCAGTTGTTCTCCATAAGCTGTTAACACTTTTGTTTGCGTTGGCCTTTTACTAATAATCACTACCTTTGCCTTTGTCGTGTTTAGCTTTAGTGCATATAAATCACTTCTTCTTTTTCTTGTGCCGTTTTCTAACGAAGGTTGGCGATCACTTCTTTAAATGCTTCTCGATCTTTTGCAACGTGAAATATGTGTTCAACACTGAGGTTAGTCCAATCTCTGATATTCCTCAGCCAAGATTTCTTCTTTCTTCCCAAGCCTTTTCTTCCCTCTACTCTACCTTGCATGATGACTTGTAGCAGAGAGTATTTGTCGTGTCGGAGTATGTGGCCCAGATACGATGTTTTTCTTATTTTAATTGTGTTTATAAGCTTTCTGCCATGTCCAACTCGTCTTAACACTTCCAATTTTTTTATAGATTAGGCTTTCAGAGTCCAAGCTTCTACCCCATATAGTAGTTCCGACCAAACATAACATTCGACGAACCTCAATCTGATGGCCATACTCAATTTCTTATTTGTAAACATTGACTTGTATTTTATAAAGCCTTTTCGAGCTATTTCTATTCTGACCTTTATCTCCTGCTCTTGATCTAACTGTGAGTTTATAATTGCTCCGAGGTATTTATATTTGTCGACTCTCTCTAGGGGTTTACCCTCCAATATCAGTTGTATGTTGTCGACAGGGTTTTTTTGAGATCACCATGTATTTGGTTTTATTTATATTCATTGTTAGTCCCATCTTTTTGCTTTCTCTGTTAATGATTTCCAGGAGAGTTTGTAAATCGTCTATATTCTCTGCCATGATTGCGGTATCGTCTGCAAATCTTGTTATTAATGATGCTTCCTCCAATCCTTACACCTTCAGTTCTTTCCATAGTGCCTCCTAAAATATTAGTTGGGAGTATACATTAAATAATTGTAGCGACAGCACACATCCCTGTCTGACTCCTCTTTGAATTTCCACCTGGTTTGTCTCACTATCTTCCACCCGTACGATCGCTGTTTGATTGTAGTACAGATTTTTGATTAAATTAATATCCTTGGGATCTAGGTGTATGTGTTTCAATGCATGTATGAGTTTACCATGTTGGACTCTATCATATATTTATCACACGTTGTGGTAATCTTTGTATTCAGAAGTTCTTCGTAACTATTTGCAATTAATACAGTGTTATTCGCGTACCTAAAATTATCAATATTGATGCCCTTTATTTTGATATCACATTAAACACTATCCAATATTTTATTGAAAACGAACTTCTCTTCGTATTTGAATTTATTCAGAATTATCGTGACCAATGCTGATGATTGCATGTTGATGTCAGTAACTATTTGCAATGATACCTAGGTTTTTCCTACATGAAAATATCCACATGGCACACGATCGCAGCCAATCGACACAGCAAGCTGTATTTTTAAATTATTTTTGTCTCTTTATACGTTTTTTAACAAATTTCATAATACATTTCATAATATATAACCATATTTTAGCTATGCTTATACCAGCAATTGCCGCTTTTCTTCTAACTACCGCTGGCCAAGTGACAAAAACTATGCCATTTTGAGTATGATACTCGTCAACGGATGTCAGGGAGCTGGTAAATCCGGTCACGTAGTAAATCATATGGATCTGGCTCCTAACTTTTCAGGAATTATGATGGGATTTACCAACGGATTTTCGGTATTTTTTTCTTCGTTTGCTCCTGGTTTAACACACTTTGTTGTAAGGGATGAGGTGAGTACCAAATTAAAGACAAAATCATTGTTATAATTTGTTCATCGGTGTTAGTTTTGGTAATTGATTGTTGGTACTGATTTAGGTGATTCAATTGTAATGATTTTTTAAATTAGTTAAAAAGCACATTATCGCTATCAATCATTGACAACTGTCATTGTCATCTTTTGCTTTAGTTGATTTCACCATTACTTAATATTGAACATATTTATGGGAAACTGATCTCTGGACTGCCATATATCAACATCAATCAGATTTAATAATCATATAGCATTTAAAGTGTTTTTACCCACATATTTAGTGGTTTCAAACATGTACATCTAGATACAACTGACTATTTCACTCATCTCAAAATTTTCACATAATCTGACCAATCACAAACCAAAGACAGCTTGTGTTATTGCGAAAACACCAACTGTCTTTCAATTCTGATTGGTCTATCAGCTTCGTGTTTTCAACGACGTAACCATGGATACCAATCGCAAAGCAAAGTTTGACGGCCAGTAGTTGCCAAAATGACTTCAATCGAGAAGCATTCGTTAATCAATTTGCTGGACTCTGAATGCTGGACTCAAAGATGAAGACGTTGTGATTATATGTAATTTTTTTTCATACTAAATCTTTTAATTTCGTACTCATATAGTCCTCTTGGCTGGTATCATATACCAAGGGATGATCCCGAACAAGTTCAATCAGCTTCTCTATGTCCATCTCCGAAACAAAAACAAGTAAAAGTAAACAACATGGATTAGTGTGAATGGAACACTCACGCCACGACTCACGAAAACTGTACGCTGATGACAAACATTTTCACGTGTGTATGAGTGGCGTGTGCATGAGTTGGTCGTAGAGTGGGTTCAATTTGCCTCGCTTCTAACCGTGATTCACAAAACTGTCCACACGCATTTCCCCGGCGTGTGCTGGGCCTCGGCAACATGCGCTGGGCATTACTACCTCGCATATCGCACAAATTTGTTAGGGTATTAGGAACCCAACACTACCTGGGTCGGTCACAGGTATCTGTATGTAGATTTTCCTTCTCTTTCAATATGTAAAAAAAGTCCTAGAAGAACACTTTTCTATATAAGGTCACCAGCTTGTCTTCTTTCCCTCACATCTTTGTGCATTTTATCCCAAATCCAATATTCTTGGATAAACTTACATAGTTTCTATTGATTAAGGCAGAAATTTAATTCTATTTGATAAGGGAAGAATGGTTTTCTTTTACCTCTTGAAGAGTCTTAAAAATGTTTTATGTTAATATATTGTTCAGCATCTTTTCCTTATGGGGTTGTCTATTGGGGATGAAACGTTATACACGCTGCATTATGCAGATGACCAGGTAGTTATTGCCCAAGACAAGGAAGACCTAGAGTATATGGCTAGAAAACTAATGGAAGAGTACAAAAAATGGGGCCTCGAAGTAAATTTACAAAAAACGCAATATCTTTGCATAGGAGGAGAAAATACTGCAGATGACCTCGACTTAGAAGACGGGAAAATTAAGAAATGCGATCAATGTATATATTTAGGGGTAAAACTAACAAAGACAGGAAGAACTGATGAAGCCATAAAAGACAGAATAACCAAAGGGAAACGAGTTATAGGTGCATTGAATTCAGTACTATGGCAGAAAAATATAAGACCGGAAACGAAAAAAAGAATATATAACACAATATTGAAACCAGTAATCGTGTATGGCTCAGAAGTATGGCAGTTATCACAAAAACTTAAAGGTAACCTCTTGGCAGTTGAAATGGATTTTTGGAGGAGAGCAGCGGGAAAGTCTCGATTAGAACATGTGAGAAATGAGGACATAAGAAATCAAATGAATGTACAAAGATCAATTATAGAAGACATCGAAAAACAACAACTGACATGGTACGGATATGTTAGACGTATGGGGGAAGAAAGACTACCAAAAAAAATATTAGAATGGGTACCACCAGAGAAAAGAAAACGAGGACGACCACCAACAACATGGATGCAAGGAATTTCAAAAGCCATGTCAGCAAGAAATCTATTTGAAGAAGACTGGCAGAATAGACAGGCTTGGCGAACGGGAACCCAAAGGCGGATTACGCTATAAACGGGATATATATATATATATATATATATATATATCTTTTCCTTATCATTAATACCAAATTACCTTTCTAACGTATTTTTGCACGACTCAATATTGTAATCGATTTTCTTCAGTGTTTTGGACCTTTTGAAGGTCTCACATACATTTTTTATAAGCACTGGCATGACCTTAAAATTTTGGTGAAAGCTCCCATCTTCATCATTGACTCCACCAAAATTAATCAGCAAGTCATCACGATGATTATTATGCAATATGCTCAAGTTCTATCCATGCAAACTGTCCATAACTTTTGGCATAATGTATGTGCATATTTACTTTGAAGAAAACAATTTTTAAACGTACTCGAAAATCTAAACTAAGTAAACAAAGTCTATTTTGATGCAATAAAACAAGAACTTGTTCATCTAAATATAAGTATTGGTTGCTAAAAAACAAATTTTGAGTATTTTTGTAATTCAACTGGAATACATGCATAAAGTTTTGTAGTCAAAAATCTTTGCTATATAGAAAAATTATAAAATCTTTTAATTTTTAGCACAACATTAGTCAGTGGCGAATTATGTTCTACGTGACAGTGGGATTAAATATATTTGGTGTTATATATAACACATTGTTTACATCGGCTAGAAGACAACCATGGAACGAAGGAAAGACGCGAAAAGAAGGTAAATATTTTTTACGTTTATAGACAAGATTTAATCAGATTAGATGATTAGTAGACCAAATTAGTAGAAGACAAAAATAGTAAATGACTGGTCATGTGAAAAGTGATGGAAAAATAATTTGACAAACAACTTTGAAAATTCAATAAATGAAAAAATTTACAGAAGGCAAGTTAGATTAAGGCAGACAGTAACAGAAATGGCCATCAAAATAAGACAAGAGAAAGTTGCTTAAATATTTAAAAAAAGTATAGAAGGGTGTTCAATGTTCAATGTTTAACCCTGAACTACTATCGTGGGGTCAAATTTGACCCCAGGACTTGAAATTTCGTGCTCCACTGGTAGGCAGTTTGGCGAACGACCTTGTTTATTCTATGTATTCTCCCAATTAAGTACGTAGTTTAGCATGCCGCTTAGTAGCAAACGATCAGTGGGATAGTGCACACGTGCTGCTGAGTTCCGGTCGGATTTGACCCCACCATAGTAGTTACGTTATTATTATTTAAGAAAATACATTAAAATGGCTTTAAGAATTAGCGAAAGTACGGTGACAAGTGAAAATGTTTTTGACTTTCTCGAATCTCTGGAGGAACCAACCAAAAATATTGACACTTACTCTATTAACAGTGATACTGACACTGAAAGTGAACATTCGGTTCACGACACAGATTCAGAAATTGACGTAAGTGACTTAACAAGCGACGAATGTGAAACAGCATCTAATAATGAAACACATTTTTACTATGGACGGAACAGATATAAGTGAGCTAAAAAAGCTCTGGCTCCATCAAAAATTTGCCCACAGAACATTATTACACACCTTCCTGGTCTTCTTGGACCTGCCTTAGAAACAAAACCATCCAGTCCACTTGAATCCTGGTCACTTCTTATAACTCCTGACATGTTGGCCTCTATTCTAGAGTACACAAATGAAAAAATTACCGAGCTCAGTGTAAATTATGGGGATATATGTACATTTGTCGATCATCTAAATGAAGGTGAACTTAAGGCTTTTTTGGGTCTTTTATACCTTTCAGGTGTACTAAACTCTAATCATGAGAATGCGATTCACTATTTTCGACAAGTGTTTTAGGTAGGCCAATTTTTCGTGCTACAATGTCAAAAGAACGCTTCTTATTTCTTCTCATAGCAATAAGATTTGACAATCATGAAATAAGAGAGCAAAAGAAGGCCAATGGAGATCGACTTGCAGCAGTGTCCTATTTATTTAAATGTTTCGTATCTAACAGTACAGCAAACTACACGTGTTCCGAATATGTTACAGTGGACGAGATGTTGGTTGGGTTTAGAGGTAGATGCCCTTTTAGAATGTACATGAAAGCCAAACCAGTCAAGTACGGCATCAAGATCATGTGTTTATGTGACGCAAAAACACATTATTTGGTAAATGCTTTTGTGTATACGGGTAAAACAAATGGTTCCAATGCCCAAAAGCTATCCATACCTACAAGATCAGTACTTGCTTTAGTGGAAACAATTGCCAATAGTAACCGAAATGTCACTGGTGATAATTGGTTTACCTCAATAGAGCTAGTTGATGAACTAAAAAAACTTCGACTTACCTATGTAGGTACAATGCGTAAAAATAAGAGAGAAATTCCTCCACAATTTCAACCAAATAAAAATTACGAAGTTGATAAGTGTTTATTTGGTTTTACACGAGACAATACAATCGTATCATATGTCCTTAAAAAAAATAAAAGTGTAATTATGTTGTCGTCTATGCATCACGACAAATCTGTTGACCAGGAAAGCAAAAAACTTGATATAATAGCTTTCTACAATTCGTCGAAAGGGGGTGTTGATGCACTTGATCAAAAATGTGTACTTTATCGTTCAGGTCGAAGATGCCAACGATGGCCTTTAGTAATTTGGTATTCCATAATGGATATTGCTATAGTAAACAGTCACATTATTTTTCACGCAGCTAATCCTGGGGTTAGAAAAAATCGATCGGATTTTATTCAAGAGCTGGGAATCAGTCTTATAAATGAACATTTAGAAGTAAGATTTGCAATGCCAAATTTGTCAAGGGAATTACGCTCGATAATTTCCAAAGCAATAGAAAGTAAAATTACTCATCAAGATCAGACCAAACCAGAAAGGCCAGTAGTAAGACATAGATGCTACTTGTGTCCCAGAGGTAAGGATAACAAACATTCCACATTTTGCGCAAAATGTCATAGGACCATCTGCAAAACACATTTACTTCAGAGAGTTACCCGTACTATGTGCAAAGAATAGATTAACAGTTACAATTTGTTCAAATATTTTTGTCGCAAGATTCTAACATTACGAAAAAAAACATGACTGTTATTTTTTTATATGGTTACTCTATTATGATTTTCTTTTGTATTAGGTTAATACGTTACTATTATAAACTACTTTTCAGAAAATGAACCATTAATTTCAATTTAAGATATATTTTTTTGTTATAATAATAAGTTATGTTTTTGATCAAAATTTATTTTAAAAGTTCTATAATTTTTATTATAGCATGTTAATTATTTTGAAATAAAATTTAAGTTTACAAAAAATCTCTATTTTATATACACATTCATTTGTCAAAAACACAAAAACAATAAAAAATATATTTTTATATCTTGTTTAGAGGTTTTTAAAATTCGGGTCATCTATGACCCCACGATAGTAGTTATGTGGGTGTAAATACACGATAGTAGCTCAGGGTTAAACAAATCTGCAGTAATGAAATATGAAAGAGAACAAGAAAATTAGTTTGCATTTATGCTGGGAAAGATCAATAACAGATGCAGTTCTCATTACAAGCCAGTTGAGAGAAAAATAAAATAATTGAGAAACAAACGCTTATATTATGATTCATTATACTTGAGAAAGCATATGCTAGAATTTTTTAAAGGTTTTTTGGTATTATTTATTGAAGATTCATGGATGGTGATATTGTGGTGTTAGCAAAAAATACTAATAGATCACTTAAAAAGTGGAAGGACAAAAGCATACTATCCGAAATGTTCATTTAAAGATGTAATTATTCTTTTTATACCCAATAAAAAAAAGCAAAATATCAATGTACAGATTAAATACAACAAAAGAAGACTTTATTAAAATTTTTAATAATGCGTATTTTTCTTTTCAGAAAAAATAGCTATTAAAATAACACCATAGGAACAATAATCAATGTATTTATTTTTGTAATAAAACTATAAAATTTAAAATCGTTGTTTTTTTATACAAGGATCCGGGCACTTTTCTTTAAACTAAGGTATATAGCCAACCACTGGGAATTTCCCTTTAAAATCTTAATATAAATAACCTCTAAATGCAAACTCAGGAAAAAACAATAAACAATTTAACAAACTGGCAGCCATAAGCAAACAAAGTAGAAACGTCACAAATTGTACTTAAAGTATAAAAACGTCCCAAGCGTCTTTTTTGTACCTATCTCTTGCAAGTGAGGGCGCCCACCAAAGTGGCGTGACAAGTGGCAAGTAGCAAGTAGCACGCGTCTAGCATGTTACTTAAAATGTAACCAATGACAACGAATGATTCAGTTCACACCAAAATGACAGTGACGTCACTCATTCTAATCATTCGTTTGCATTGGTTACATTTTAAGTAACATGCTAGACGCGTGCTACTTGCTACTTGCTACTTTTCACGACACTTTGGTTAACGCTCTCACTAAGATGCAACGATGCTAGATCACGCGTATGTATTTTATCTCGGCAGGTATGTATTACTTTACATAAATAAAAGGTATAGACTTTTGTTTTTTTTAGTCATGTCCTTACTGTAGAAATGATATTAGCCTAAAATACAGAAAAATGGACATCCGCCCTATTTATTTTAAGCCACAGAAATATAGAATTGTGTAAAACGTTTTTTTAATTTACATCCCTAGAAATAAAACTAGTTTGAATAAGTTACATTTATAAATAAATAAATGATTCTAATCATGATAGAACAAATAACTGTTACTGATAAAAATCAAGATAAAAAATCATTTGGGTTTAAAAATATGCTGCATCTCATCCCTTTTTACATACACAGGTGAGAGTGGCGATATGTTCCACTATTCTTCTTACAAACTCTTGCAACACACTTTCCATCCGTTTTGAAGCTTCGAGAACTTCTAAATGATTAGGGACCTTATCGGAATCCCATTCTAGAATAGCCTCGTTGGTGATGAGACTAAAAGCGAAGACTGTTAGCTCACAGTGTTTGGCCACTATCACTTCGTGTACTGTAGACATTCCCACAGCGTCAATTCCACATGTCTGCATAAGTCGAAGTTCCGCTACCTGTGAGAAAAATAATAAATCACAATATGTATATAAAAGATGTAAACTCTTTAAGGTAGATGTATTAAAAATCATAAAGATACTTTTTTTTTAATTTATTTTGCTTCAACGACTTAGGGTTATTGGCATAAGAAAATACAAACAGTAATAAAGACATATATAGGCATATAAAAAATATAAATTACATAATAATGCATACAATATACAGTGATGGCTTTTTAACGTAAGAGATAGAAAACACAGTTACCTTGTGAAATAAAAAGAGATTAAACTCGTAGAGGTGGGAAATAATTAATAGAAACCTATAATTTACATTACATTACATTACCGCTATCGATAGTCTCACACCTTTAGACGTTAGACGTGGCTATTTGACTTCAGTCGTAATTATACGGATAATCTCGAAAATGTTTTATTTTAATAATTTCTGATGATAGAATAAATAATGGAATAAATTAAGATATATTATAGGAAAAAAACATTAATTAGTAGCGATTTTAAATTATGAATCTTTAAGTTTATTTATTAATAAAAATAACTCAACTGACATATTTGACTAAATTAAAGGTAGGTATGTTCTCTCCAAAATCAATTAATGTATATGGAATTGGTGTAATAGTTAGATACGTGGTCTATTGATAAGAAGATTGGGGTTCAATTCATACCAAGGATAAAATTTTTGTTTTATCGATCAAAAAATAATAGAAAATATGATACATATTAGGTAACAAGTTTTCGAAAAACTCATTGTTTACAATTTATTCTTATTTCAATGTAATAAAACGGAAATACAAAATAATTCAAATTCAATTCCAGTTTTACTTTCTTCAGTTGTGAATCCAAAATAATCCGGTATGTCAAATCCATCACTAAATAAACATGTTCTTTTAATTTTGAAGAATTTTTACTTTATTTTCGAAAGTACGACGATACTTTTTTCAATAGGATATTTATGTGTGAATTTAAACACATCTAATACTAGTAACGACTGACATAAATGTTTTAAAGCAAAACGATCTCTGCATAATTTCAAATTATTAAAAAAAAAAAAAAACATGTGGGTTTTGAACTCTTATCGTCTGCATCCCAGTGTCGAATTCTTACCACTAATCCACGAAGGATTGATAAATAATCCGTGACAAAAGTGTATGAAACTCCTCAAATCACAGTCAAAATTATTCTTGGTTAATAATTTAAAACTTTAGATTAAATAATCACTATTAATTAAACTATTTTATTAACATTTTTGCTTTATTGTGGTCAATCAGTTTTAACTTTATGCGAAATTAAAAAATGGAAATACGTCACACATACGACGTCAAACATAATAATTATAACCGAGGTGATTTAGCTCGAAGCTAACGTCTAAAGGTGTGAGACTATCGATAGTGGTAATGTAATGTAATGTAAATTATAGATTTCTATAGATTATTTCCCACCTCTACGAGTTTCATCTCTTTTATTAAACAAGGTAACTGTGTTTTCTATTTCTTACAGTAAAAAGCCGGGTGGTAAGGCACTCATCACTGTATATTTTAAATATTGATGTATTGTGTTAAATTTTATTAAAAAAGTCTATAGATTTTTAGAATTCTATCCAGTCAGCTACGTATTTAGATTCTCCTAGAAAATGTTTTAACGTTTTTGGAATGTGGTGATATAGTCTTTTAGCTGAGTATACTGAATAGTCAATCAAAATGTGCTTTACTGTCACTTTACATTCACAAACAAAACACACCTCTCTTTTCTCTTCAACAAGAATTCATGTGTTGTAGAACCGTGTTCTAATCTGAGACGTGTTATTAGGACTTGATGTTGTCCCTTTGAAGACCAGAAGGTCCATGTAAGGACAGAATATTTTATTTTTATCAATTTAGTGGTACTTCTATTCCGTTGGTTTTGCCAAACATCGTGCAATTTGCTTTTAAGTAAGGTTTTAAATCTAAATGCACCGTTAGATTTTCCACTGATGCGGCTGTACTGGCTACTGCGGACCTAGCTAGACTACCTTTTCGTTACCATATATCCCAACGTGTGACGGTACCCAGAGGAATTCTACTGTCAAATTGTTTTGGTATATATGGTATAAAATTAACTTAATCTGCTGTAATGTTGGATAAGAGGGAATAACACAGAGAAAACATAAATTTATTTCACAGCTAGGATAAATGGGAGGTAGTACAATATTAAAATCTAATAAGTATTTATTAGCTCGTTCATAGCAGCAAAAGAGTGCTCTAATTATCGAACACTGAGCCTCATGAGTTATACTTTAAAAGTTCTGCTAAAAGTAATACATAAGAGAATATACGAAAGGCTACAGGAGGATATTAGCGAAACGTAGTTCAGGTTCCTAGATGGAATGGATACTCGAGAAGGACTAGTTGCCATTAACTTGTTTGATTCAGCGATGGCAGGATGTAAATGTTAATCTACACTTGTGCTTCGTTGACTATGAAAAAGCTTTCGATAAAGTAAGACATATAGAACTAATATCAATATTTATGAACAAGCACATTGACAGTAAAATCATAAATATAGTGCAAAAATTATATTGGAACCACAGTGCCATAGTTCAAATTGATGGGCAACACTCAGAAAAAATAAGGATCAGTAAAGGAGTTAGACAGTGATGTGTTTTATCGCCACTTTTGTTTAACTTATATTTTGAAGAAATTTTCCAAAACACGCTCAATAATATCAAAGCGGGAGTCACCGTTAACGGAAAATTAATTAACAACTTAAGATATGCAGACCACACTGTGATCATAGCAACGAGTATAGAGGATTTACAACATCTTATCGAAAGCTTGAGTATGCATAGTACTGAGATGGGAATTACTAGACTGTTTTTCAAAATAGGAGTTTAGTAGGAGCTACTTAATACAATTACAAAATTATAACAAGTTTATCTTATGTTTAACGAAATAACTCTTCAATTTGAAATCATACCTTATACAAAATATTCACGTGCATTGTAACGGATCGTGTGACAAAAACTATGACGAAGACTGATACTTACTGTTTCGTAATTTGGTCCCCCAACACATGCGTATACTCCTTGATGCACAATTTGTTCAATTCCAAGATCTTTTGCTATTTTCATTGCTTCATTACGGAGATCTTTATCATAAGATTTATTTACTGGTGGAAATCTAGTTCCAAATCGTTCCTCATTTGGTCCTCGCAATGGATTATTGCCGCCAAGCCCCAAGAAATTGACGTGGTCCTTCAACAGCATTATATGGCCAATTCTATAATCTTGATTTATACCTAAATAATATTTAAATTTTTTAAATTTATTACTAAGTACATAAAACATACACCTCTTCTAAGTTTCTACAGAGCCATGGGTTTCGCCATTCCACAAGCACTTTGAAAAGAGATCACATTAAAAAACCAAGAAAACATGAAAAGGCTAGCTGAAGATAAACTCACTATAACAGGTAATGCCCCTGTTAAGATAAATTAAGTCAGGGTGGGTAGGACCCACATACAGGAGTCACTATGTATATGCGGTAAAGTTAAAACATAGGGCAGATTATGCATTGGTAGACCCACCGTTCAAGAATTGTAGGATGCCAGTAACGATGCCATTGATGTAATCCATTATTGAACGGAGGACATTTGGATCCGGACTCTGAAAAAAGTTATATATAGGAACATAAAAAGCATTTATACATAAACTGCTAAAGCAACCTGATGAGTCATATATTAAATAAAGATAGACTCACCTCCAGCAGCATTTGTTAAGATCAAATGTGAGCATCCCAGTAATTTCATTATTCTAATAGGCATGGCGCACTTCCATAAGGGGTAGCCTTCGTAAGCATGGAATCGTCCCTTTAAACATACCACAGGAACATTTGATAATTTTCCAACCACCAAACAACCACCATGTCCTTGTACTGTACTGACTGGGAATTTAGGAATTTCTTCGTAAGAAAGTGTAATAGGATCTGTTAGAGTATCTGCCAAAGGACCTAAAAATAAAATTCATAAAACTTATAATTTGAAAATAAAAATAAAAAACTTGTGCCCAAAAAATAAGTGGAAGGATATTCCACAACAACAATTTAAGAAAATCTACACTCAGCTTTTTATGAGACAAGGGACAAAGCACTTTCAGCCATTTTGTACTTTCAGCTATTTTGTTTTTACAGATACATTAAAAATGCATGAGTTTTAAACAATAAAAACTAAGATTATCATACACAGGTCTACTCCAATATTCCTATTAGTTAATAAATACATAATAGGTAGGGGAGAGTAGTACATAGTGAAACAAAAAAGTTTTTGAGTTCAAAACATTTATTTTTAAATTAAAGGGAAATTTTTCAAAGAAGTATGTTACACTGACTCCTTCTTAACATTCTAAGGACAAAATTCTCTAAAAATTCTTATAATAAAAAAAAAAATAGAACTTAAAGAAAAAAATACCGAAAACATATTATATCTAGTGTCTTAAGAAAATATTTTGACCACCAGATGTTTATCAAACATCTAACAATCCAAAGTCAATATTAAATTTGTACTAACTTGGCAAGCATTGATTTTTCATGGAAATGGGTTTTGTTAAACCATTTTTATATCAAATGTATTCACAAGAGTTAACACAGGCTCTAGAGGAAAGCGAAAAGAACCACCCATTTGCTCACATTTTTGTAAATATGAAATTATATAATCATTTTGGCCATTAACATTGGTAAGTAGCTTTCCAACATAATTACTCCTTTTTAAAAAAACGTACCAACATGAAATCACAACATTAACACTTCGAAAATAATCAGGTTTTTCATCAGGTTGTTTAATAATCTAATTATCATTATCATCTAAGAAGACGGCTAGTTGAATATCACTTTCTACACTGGAGTGAGACTCTGTTTTTTGCCATTTAATTAATTTGGTTGTTGTAGGGAATTCCTTTAAACGATCTTTAACCTTTCTGCTAATTGGTGCTTTACCTTTTTCTCTTTCTTTTTTTATCAACGCATCTTTCTTGAGTGTGTCAGTAATATTTGTGTTTTTACCTCGCTTTCCAGGTTTCCTGTTAGCTTTACGAGGAGGTGCTTTTAGATACACTCTGAAGTCTTCTGGACCAGCAAATGTGGGAAGTTTATTATCCATAGTTGTTTCTAGCTGAAATCCTATGTAAGGTAGTCCAGGTTCACTTTTTTCTGGAATAATCTCGTTCTGAAGTTGTGCGCTGGATAGTACAGCACGTTCAGTATTTGATGTAGTCTCTTTACGAAATTGTAAAGAGGAAAGGCCCAGGTAATTCATAATCGAGTACATCTTGTAGCCTGTCAGATACTGCTGATGTGAAAAAGTCTGTGTCGTTAAAGATTAGAGAATTAAATGGACAAATTTTACTTTCCTGGAATCTTGACATATTATCGGAAGGAGCTAAGGATTTTGCATGAGCTTTTCCAACACATTCAGCTATTTGGTAAATAGAATTCCAGGATGTCGTAAAAGCCAAGAATCAATAATAGCATTGTTATGTATTTTGAATGGTCCAAAGACCGATATATCTAAGCTTGAGCTTTTTCGACAACGGCAACTGACATATGGCTATATATGGCTTTCATGATTATTATTTATTATTATTATTATAGCTCGAGACAAAGACAGTTTTGCCATGTTAATCGCCAACGTCAAGGGGACTTGATAGGGCACGTTAAGAAGAAGAAGATTATTATTTATTAAAAGGGAAGGATTGTCAGGTATATTATGTGAATGCTTTATAAAATGATCAAAAACATGTGAAGGCGTTTGCTTTCTAACCATCTAAAATATCAAAATAGCCAATTTTTGGTAATAATTTATAATATTAATTTATAATATTACGGTACACAGTGAAACGCGTTTTGTTTAGCAGAAAATTATTGACTTCAATTAGTGGTTCGTCAATATTATTAAATTTATCTGACTTGGCTTATTGTTAAGACCTTGTACCTCAGGTAAACTATTGTTACCTGAAACCGGACCTTTTATACTATTATCGGTTAACCCAGGATGCTTATAGTCAGTACTAATTGAAGTCAATCATTTACTGCTAAAAAAACTTTACCGCTTTTCAATATAGTATATCAATTTTTATAATTTCCATTTTTATGTTTCAAATAGACTAACATTTTTTATTTAAAATATTTATTTTTCCTTTTATTTTGATCTAATAACATCCTAATTTTCAATCGAATATTCTCACGAAAACATTTGATTTTTTTAAATTTCAGTGTTCTTTTTTTGGTAAAATTTCTGCTTCTAAAATATTTCTAAAATAAAACTATAAAAACTCTCTTAGAAGATAGAGAAAGTGGTTTCTTTTTACAGAATATTCCGTATTTTTATTTTTCATGTGGTGACAATATAAAACACTTCTCAACACAAATGGTTATGTCTAATTTTTGAGACTAATGGAGAAGTTACAGCAAAATTGAGATCCCTGTGGACCATCTGCTTTTCCATTGAATTAACTATCTTTTCGATAAAGTAAAAGCTATTATTTTATTTTTATTATATTTTTTAGAGAAATAAATTTCATTTTACCTTTAAATTTTACATAAACAAGTTCCTGTTTTGTTAGAAATAAACTATGCACTTTAAACATTAATTTATACAACTTAACTAGCTTGTTATTAAGAAAAAAACAATTATTTGGAGCCATATATAAAAGATAAATAAGTTTAACCTACCTAAACCAGATCCGCATACTATACCAACCTTTGGACAAATGGGAGCTATTTTGGACTTAATAAAATCAGCAATTTCTGTTAGATCTTCATAGCTAAATCTGAAACAAAAATATAATGGGTAACCAGAAAGTAGAAGTTAGCAACGATAGAGTTGCATGTGACTGTATTAGATTATTGCGACAACCGTTTATACGCCTCTTATTTCTTTTCATTTAGACTTATCCTGCAGCGAGCCTGCATGATAGAAAAATTACGTTATTTGTTTATTTCTAAGCAGGTTTTTACTTTACTTTTTTTTCTATTTTAAGCTAACTAACTTAGTTAGGTAGATAATGAAATGCTTTTGACCACCGCAATATTATATACTCTATTAATTTCTTACTTCAAATATGATCAAGAAAATTGTACTTACTGGTTAATATTAGGATCAGTTATTTGTTCTACCATGATTTTTTTGATGAAGTGATTGTACTAGGAATTTAGGATGATAGATGATTATGAAGTTTTGTCAATTAGACATTAAAAAATACCGATGACATTGATGTTATTTTTCAACTAAAAATATATTTTCTTAAGTTAAGTCTACAATAATCGATTTTATTAGATGAACAGATTCATTAAACTTAAATACATTTTAGTTTATATATGTATGAATATTTGTAGATAAAGTGATCGCAGTTTTCGCACTTTTGTTGACAGGAACAATTGAAAATGTGTGATATGAAGAAAACTTAAATAAACACGATTTTGTATTAAAGCAATGGATATTTATATTAAAAGAAAATGATTGGGAATATTAAAAACCTTGTTGAACAAGCTATACTAGAACACTACTAAATCAGCAACTGGTTTTAAAAAACAAAAATTGTTCAATCTATTAACCTCATAAGTGGGCAGAAATATTTACAGATATGTATCCTGCGGTGGGCAGAATTTTTTTTTTCTGTATATGGGTTAAATTCTTGTAATTAATCATTGAGGAAGGTACATAGGACAACATATTGCAAGTTTTTTCAATATTTAGCTATATACATTTTCATTCTTCATAGGCGTGTAATATGTTCTCGTATAGGGTTATAAAAAGAAAAAAATAATAAAAAATAACTGTAAATATAATTGTTACATTATTTATACATTTAATGTCTAATAATTTAATAATGTATGGTATTTACCAAAGCACGAAATAGCACAAAGTAGAGCTTCACGAGAAGGACACATCACATTTGTTTTCTTTCTAATGTTGTGAGAGTTACACACTAGACATCTTCTAGAACCGTGTCTTGCTCCACTTGAAGAGGCGAATTCTGGAAAATGTCGTCCAGTAAGTCGAGCGGGGCGTGTCAGGATTTAACCTTCTGCTGGAGGAAATTATTGTCGATGAATCATATTTCTCAAAAACTCTATTTATAACATCGAGTCTAAAATTCAAATGTGATAATTGTTTATCTCGTTTTTTCTATAGAACAAAGGAATTGAACATTGCTACATCTACTAAATGCCTGAATATTTTTTGATAGTATTTTTTAACCTTTACCTTGTCATGCTATATGTGACTAAATATTTATCTGATAGATCGACTCCCCCACTTCTTTATTGTAGTCTACTATGACCTCTGGTTTTTGCAATAATTGCCCTCTTTTTTTGTACTTGTAACATATTAGCGTCATGGGTTGTACTTAGCAACAGTTTCTCCTTTGTTAAGCTTATTTTTTGTCACGTGTACTAAAATATTTTTTTCTATTTATGCGTACAATTTCTAGGGCATCGGTGTTGAAATCACACAAAATCTCAAATAAATCTGATGAGGAATAATAAGTTAGTAACGATCCTGTGACCTTTTTCTAGTAAAGAAAAGGGCTTGGGCTTTCAGAGTCCAAGCTTCTACCCCATATAGTAGTTGCGACCAGACATAACATTCGACGAACCTCAATATGATGGCCATACTCAATTTCTTATTTGTAAATATTGACTTGTATTTTATAAAGCCTTTTCGAGCTATTTCTATTCTGAGCTTTTTCTCTTGCTCTTGATCTAACTGTGAGTTTATAATTGCTCCGAGGTATTTATATTTGTCGACTCTCTCTAGGGGTTTACCCTTCAATGTCAGTTGTATATTGTCAACAGGGTTTTTTGAGATCACCATGTATTTGGTTTTATTTATATTCATTGTTAGTCCCATTTTTTGCTTTCTCTGTTAATGATTTCCAGGAGAGTTTGTAAATCGTCTATATTCTCTGCCATGATTGCGGTATCGTCTGCAAATCTTATGTTATTAATAATGCTCCCTCCAATCCTTACACCTTCAGTTCTTTCCCATAGTCCCTCCTGAAATATTAGTTGGGAGTACACATTAAATAATTGTGGCAATAGCACACATCCCTGTCTGACTCCTCTTTGAATTTCCACCTGGTATGTCTCATTATCTTCCACCCGTACGACCGCTGTTTGATTGTAGTACATATTTTTGATTAAAAATTAATATCCTTGGGATCTAGGAGTATGTGTTTCAATGCTGGCAAATTCATTACTGGCTTTATTTAATATAATCTGAGGATTGTAGGATCAAATGCTTTATTGTCGCTACAATGGAAGAATTTAAGTAACAAAAAAAAATCGTTTTTCGCAAAAATCGTTTACAAAACTATAAGTTTCGTTCTTGAAAAAAAAAACTGCTTTTGTGCTTTTAAATTATGCCCCGAAGAAATAAAATTCCTATCAACAATTTTATTTCAGAAAAGTTAGTAGGAATCCAGTTTCGGTCTCTAGCCCTTCTTTTCATTTGTCCTTGGTCAGTTTTTTCCGAATGTTAACCTATTAATGTTTTAAATTTTGAGAACGATTTCCGTAAAAGTGGAAATTGAAACGTCAATAACCTATTTTTAACCTTAAATTGTGGCTTATTTCCAATAAAACTAATAATTGCCTTAAAAGATATATTGACAATAGTGATACTTTTTATATACATAGGTACATACCTACATAAAAATACAGTTCTGTAAAGATTTAAAATCTAATGATTTGTTTACTTATTCGCTAATCTCCTTTACAGCTAGATTTACAACTTGACGGGAACAGTTTTCTCTAGGCATAACTGTAACAAGAACAAATAAAATGTAGCTTAGTTTAAACTCTTCCTCATAGATGGCGAAAGAAGCTTTATTCGAAAGTTATATTTATTAAAAAAAAATATTTTAAAACATTTTAAATAGTAACAAAAAGCATACTATCAAAAATATCAGTGCTCTATAAAATTAGAGAAATAGTCTTTCTACGAAGCTTATAAGAAGTAATTTTAATAAATCAGTAAAATAATGTTTCGATTCAAATCGTAACTATCTTTTCGTTTTAATTTTAATAAGTATATACATATTTTAGCAAAAACGTTCTTCCCAGAGTTAAAATATCTTCTTTTTCTTCTTCTTCTTATTAGGCAATTTTTATATTGCCCCCCCCCCTTCTTTTTTGTGGTTGGCCTATACTTCTACACATCGGCGATTTGTCTCTTGCTATCATAACCCCTCTGTAGCTTGTCATTCTGCTTACATAATTTTTTCATTCTCTCTTCCTATTCAGTATCCACTCGCCTATCTTGGCTATCTTGTATGCTGTTCTAGAAGGCAAAAAGAAAAAAACTTGTTAACGACAATAAAAACAGCCAAAAGTTGAATATATCAGTCACATCATGAGAAACAGCGAGAGATACGGGTTGCTGCAATTAATTCTTCTAGGAAAAGCAGAAGGAAAACGTGGACCAGGAAGGCGAAGAACTTCCTGGCTGAAAAATCTACGTACGTGGTTCAACACAACAACCACAAATATTTTTAGAGCAGCAGTGTGCAAAGTGCAGATTGCCATGATGGTCGCCAACATCCGAAACGGATAGGCACTACAAGAAGAATGCTGTTCTAATTTCCTCATTTCTTTTTCAATACATCTGGTCAGTTCATGAGGATGATTGTTTATATTTGCCATTGTCCATTGTAAGTTGTTAGTATGGTACCATATGCATAGCAAAAGATCGTAATTTATTTATTTCCCATTTTATAACATTTACCTATGTCTACGGTTTTAACTATTTCATCCATTATAAGATTAAAGAGTTGGGGACTGAAGGAGTTTGCTTACCTTCTACCTATGCCTGTGTCTACTACCTCTGTAAATTAGCAATTTATCCTTGCCTATCTTTGCACTCTTCTTCCTGTCTGATTAATTTTCTATGGAATTATTATAGTGACTCTTTCCTTAACTCTTGTTTCATTTGGTACGAAAATGGCACATATTAAGTTTTTTTTCTCGTATTTATTCTCTTATTATCTTTCTGTCCTATTTATTTGACGCAAATCCTTGGTTCTATAAGCACTGCTGTATTTATAGTCCTCAGATTGGGTGCTAATCTGGTCTGAAGACCCCCTTCCTCTTTAACCAGGGTTGGGACTGACAGTGACAGCTAATGAGCTACTCAATCCACCACCAACTAGGTACCCCAGATGAATTTGTTAAAATATCTTAAGTTTTTTCATATAAGGCAGGATAAACGTGTCTTTATTCTAGTGGTTCCGCTTCTAGGTAGTTAGTTGTCATCCATTTTTTATTCTTTTTTGTTTCTCTCATTACGCTTTTTTCTAGCATTGCTATTATGTTATTCAACATAATCCAGTTTTGCTCAATATTTTCCCGTGGGTGTGGTGGGTGTCTATCTATACCTTATATTTTCTGGATACGTGCCGAAGTTTTATTTGGTTTCTGTTTTGCATTTTTTAATCAAAAACTTAGATTTTCTAGAACATGATTAAAGTTCGATCAAACGTCAGTACTGGAATATGTAACACTATAAATATATTTTTAAATATATTTGAGTTGGCTATAAAATTTATTTGGTTTATGATGAAATTTAATTTACTCTGTCGTTGAGACTGCCAACGATAGCATTTTTAGGGTGAAAGCTTAAACCAACATTTCTGTTGATTACAACAAAATTTTCTTCTTGGCAAAATTGTATCAATTTATCGTCTCACTTATCGCGTACTTACCAACTTTTTCCTATTTTAGCGTTAACATCACCAAGTAATGTAGTTGGTTCATTTTTCCTAGCGTATTTCAAGAACTTAAATAGAGCTTATAACAAAAAACATTATTTAGTTTTTATTTTTATCTGCAATTAGAGCAGTGCCTTGAGAAAGACACTCTGACGAAACAGCTGTAGTGATTAAAAATAAAAATTATAATAAATTTTGTGTAAGTTTTCAAAACAAATGTTTTCAGTGTTTTATTTAGATACTCATATTATTGTCATTAACTCTTCCTTTGATGAATAATATACCAAAAATTAACCTTCTCACATTATAATTATCATACAAATAAAACCAACAGCCAAATTCTAAGGCTATCTTTCCTAGAGCTGGTCAACACAAACTTATATGATGAGATTCTCTACACAGGTGCATCTAAAACTGAGACAGGTATCGGATATTCTGTAATAACTTCAAATAGTATCATTTAGAAGTTCTGCCTTCCACAATCCAC